TACTCTTCGGTTGTGGAAAAACAATTCCCCACAGATCACGAAGTGTTTCGCAAAGATGCTAACAGATTGCTTTCCCGTGGAGAAGAGAAATTGCCCAGCAGCAAAGTTCATGGGGAGCTGGGGACTGTCGGACACACGTGACCCAGACCCAAGGTTGATATTCAGCTCATTCCTCTGGTGCAGCAAGCCTCCTGGCGTCTGCTCTGATTGCTCCTGCCCAGGCCGCATTTGCTCTTTAATATTTTTAATAGCACTTCTGCTTGAGACCACGGTCACTTGATGATAAGCCCGTCCCCATGCACTGGTAGATAATTAGTTGACATCCAAGAAACACTGAGAGTAAAATGTGTTTGCTTTGCCAGGTTCCCTTCCCAGGGCATTGATTGCCAAGTAACCCCCTGGCTCCTGAACTTTGACTCAAGTGGGTGGACATACCTTAACTTTTTCTTTCTTCCTTGCCCAGTTTATTCAGCCAAGAATGCGTGTTTAACTTCATTCTGTAAGCACTTAGAATGAACTGATGACCGGCATTTCCTTAAGCAATAAAGATAGTGCCCTTCCTTTCTAAAAGTTATAAATGAAAAAAAAAAAAACAAAGAAAAACAAAACACACAACACACTACACCACAAAAAATTTGGATCATCAAGATTCAGAATGTGGAGACTGTACAGCAGACAGTGTGGAAAATAGACCTAGCTCTTTTTGTGACTGGAAAGGAAGGTGAGGGATGAGCTAAGAGAACCAGAACTTAAAATTCTGAGGCTCTGAAGTGAAGAGAAAGGACAGGAATAGCAAAAAAAAAAAAAATCTTTCAAGAAGCTTTGCTTTATGAACAGCGAGTGACTGGGAGATGTGTTAGATCTAAGGAGTTGTCATCTCCTCTGTCTTCCATAAGGTATGCTTACCTAAGGTGAGTTTAATAAAAGGATTGTTTCCAAGGCGTGGGAGATTTTGGGGAAACCCACTTGAGATAGTACAGCACCCGTGGGCTAGCAACTGTGGGAGCCCTTCCCAGCCCAGGCCTGAGGCACCCAGCTACGCGGTGCCTGGATTTCTGATGCCTAGGAACTGTAAGATCATAAATGTTTGTTATTTTTACGCTGCTAAGTTTTGGGGTCAATTTGTCATAATGAAATAGATAAAATATAGTATTTGTCTTCCCTACTTTCCTATTCATATTTTCTTCATTTCCCAAATGAACAACTTGCACTTGAATCTTTAAGGTCTCTTTCTGGAGGCAGCCTCAACTCAGAGAAACACACACAGACATCGGAAGGAACTTTCTGGAAGTCCTGCGTTGGGCTGGTAACAGTGACTCTGAGTCTGGAGGTCATAGCACCCGTCCCGAGGGGGTGTCGCTCATCAGGGACCGGGTGACAGGGGAATGAGGTCAGAGAGCCCAGCTCTGAGCTTCTCTGCCGGTTCTCCTGGGGGCCGTTAAGGCTTTTAACTCCAGGGACTAACGACTAACTCAAGTGTGTGCGGATCAAACGAGCGTACAGCCAGTGACCAGGGCTTTGGAAACAGGCATCTTCCCGAAAATGCAAATCCTTATTATGGTTCAAGGGGCCACGTGTCCCCAAATCGCCCCTCACAAGCCTGGCCACGTGACCATAAGTGGCCGGTGACTCAGAAGCTGCCCCGCTGGGCTCCGGGGCTGGACGGCTCCTGAGCAGGTCCTTTCCCTGCCTGGAGTGACTGGCTGCCGAGGGCTCCGGAAGGAGGCGAGCAGGCACATCCAGCCGCTCTCACCGCTGCATTGTGTCCCAAGGTCTTTTAAAATAATCCTATTTTGTGATGTTTATATACAAACCGGGGAGAGAATGGGAGTATTATGCCTGTAATGGAAAGCGCTCACAAATAGAAAGGCGCCATTTATCGTCCATTTCCAAGGCAGCTCTGCGGGCTGGGCTCCCTGGATGGGTTTTCCGTGGGTTTTGTTGGGCCTTGTCAATCAGGCTTGCTGGGGGAAGGAGTGCGCTTTGTGCTGAGGACTCTGAGTGCCGAGTTCCAGGAGTTTCTCCGCGGCTCTGCTTATCTCCCTGCCACTGGGCCTGGCTGCTTCCAGTCAGGAAGAGGCACTTCAGGAAAATCACGTTTCCTTTGCAATCAAGGCTTATAATGTGTTTCAGTGGATTCTTCACCATCACTGGAGAGCCCGTGGGGGCGGGGAAGGGATTGAGTGCAGCAAATGACACACACACACACATCACAGGCGACTCTCAATTACGGCCTGTTGGATCTGTCACCACAAACATCCCTGCAGGCACACCTGTCCAGCACTCCTTATCATTGCTGTCGGGGTGAGGAATGAAGAAATTATCGCTGGCCGGCTGTGTACCAGGCACAGTGCTGACAACTCTATCTTCATGATCTCATTTTGTCCCTGCAATGGCCCTGAGGGGCAAACACCATCATCATTTCCATTTTGCAGATGAGAAAACGGAAGCGCAGGGAGATGGAGGAAGCCAAGGCCAAGGCCATACAGCTAGTAAGCACCGGAAAAGGGATGCAGACCATTGTTTCCCGCTGTAAGTGTGCCTCCCAAATGACTCACTAGTTATAGCAAACATTCCTGGTAAAATCGCTCCTGCTGCAGAGCTACTGTTATGACCCGCTCTGAGTCCTCCCCAAACATACCAACAGTGCACGGATACCAGACTTCAGAAGTGTGGTGAGTCAGAGATCGCTGTCTGGGGGTCTGCAGGCAGGAGGCAGTGTGGCTTCAAACCTAAGACCATGGCTCTATCCTGCTGTCTGAATTCAGACCTGGAGTACATTCTTTCATTTTGTTGAGTCTCCACTATAAAATGAGCACAATAATGGCACCTGCCTCCTTGGGCTGGTGAGAGCATTCCTGGGAGGTGCTGTGGCAGGTGTGTGAGGCCCTCTGCTACGCTCTTGACCTTCGTGTCACCTGCAGGTTTGCCGGGTGGGTCCTGCACATGCCCATGGTCTCCTTCCTGCCTCAAGCACCCGCCATTCCCTCTGCCCAAGAGCTTCTCTGGCCACCTGGCAGAGCCACACGGGCATATAGAAGGGCCGGGGTGTGAATGTCTCAGGAGTGACTCAGTCATGGAGGGGTGGGAGCGAGTGGATAAACCTCACAGTCAGTGGAATAATTCTTACGTGTGTAGCATGTTCCCCAAAGTGGACCCACGGAGGACTGGGTCCCAGTTGCCTTCAGAGGTGACCTACTCATTATCGCATGTTTCATCGGCTTTCCTCTCTTTCTCTTCTCTTTTCCTCACTCTCTCACTCTGTGTCCTGGGATCACCTCCCAAAGAAACTATCGGCAACCAAATCCATGGCTCAAAACCTGCTTTGGGGACCCCACATCAGCCAGGGGCTCGGCACAAAGCCTGGCATTTGGTGAGTACTCGGCAAGCAGTCCTCCCTATTGGACTCTCACTACTTCCACCATGACCCTGGCGCAGCGCCCCCGTGACATGCAGGGGACGTCCTTCCCCTCTGGTGGCCTGGGCCCCGCTTTGGAGAGCAGGAGCTCTGGCGGTGAGCAAGAGGGTGGCTGGCCAAGAGCATCACCCCTTTCTGAGTTTGGCGACAGCACCTGCCTACCAAATAGTTCCCGAAATCAGGGAGAGCT